GACAGCAGTATATCATTTATCATATCATATCCCAGTTTCCCCCCTTATACTCCAGATTCATGGATCTTTAAGAATGGATTCCATTTCAAAGATTTACACATATCTACACATACACATATCTATCAATCACTAATATGTTTCTTATTTACTCCCCATTATATCAACTGAAGTACAAATTTGTCAGTTAATGGGCAATCATTAGGATAGCAAAATAGAATGAAGGTTACAGGGAACTGGAAGCTACCATGGTAAAGTCTTTGTGGTTCACCCAAAGATATATAATAACCTAAAAATCTCTAGATATCAAAGAAGCTATGATGGTTATAGTATCCAATCATGGATACCAAGACCCTGGTCACAGTTAATACCAAGCATGCTCTGTGACATCAGTAACCATTTTTGAACCCGTGAATCATTCACTGCAAAACACTTACAAGATTAGCCTTTTTTTTTCCAATAGTATCAACCAACTGCTGCTTAAACAGCTTAGTGCCAAAGAAACAATAAATAAGAACTGCTGTCAGCTTTGGATTTCCATCTAGAAAGGCAGAACCACTGGCAGTGTCTCTACGTTAGAGTCTAAAGAGGGTGCCTTTACCAAATATCAAATGCAAGGATGAGAAACAGAAGCCTGTATATCATTTCTTAAAGATCCTATACAGACATGGATTAATGTAGTAGCCATCAACTCAGCGAGACATGTTCTGACTGCAAGCAAAATAAAGAAGGGTTTTAACAAAACTGGAAACATGGCCTTGTGCCTTGTTAGGCAATCCTGCATTACAATAGATTTGTATGAACTTTGTCTTCTGAAAGTCCAAAAATTCAGCCTGGGCATCAGTCATGGCTATTAAAGATTGCAGTGAAACCTTTCTGTGGACATTTTTATACACAATATTAATAGGTCCCTTAATGGAAAACATCAATAAAGGACAACACATAGCAACACATTGCACAGATGTGAACTAGTGCTATTTAAAAGAACATGTGTACATGGGTTGACATTTGCTATGTATGCATGCATTGCTGTGAATGGGCTCAAAATGTTGACACTTTCTCAGAAGGAAGTTGCTGACTGACAAAAGTTTGTTATAAAATGCATAACTGTTACCCTGCAAATGCAAACTGGTAATTAGCAAACAAATCACTTCATGAAGACTGTAGAGCAGGACTTGATTCTTGCTTTTGCTCAACTCTGATCCTAGTACCTACCATCTTTATATAAAAACTCATTAGTATTGTATGGACTATATGGTGCAGCAACAGGTGCAGGAGCAATGACTGCAGATCAAACGCATACTCAATTCTTCATAAGTATACTAGAGATGTATAAGCCATTGCAGGAAGGAACAAAACCACATGATTGTCTAATTGCACATGGATAGTGTATCCTTGTTGTTTTAATCCCCCAACAAAGAAGAAATGCCCCAAACGTTTCCCAACATCTCCATTTCTGGTATAAAAAAGAAGTGTACCACCAATGAGGAACCAGTATCCATTTTTGGACCCTTTGATTTTCAGGTCTGCACATTTTATGTGGCAAGTGGAAAACCTAAATCTGGAGTCGAAACCAACAAATATGAAGACCTGGGTTTCAACAAACAAAATGTTTGACCTCAACTTTGAGGGGTGTGGGTTTTATGTAGTCATATCAAAAATATCCTGAGCACTAAACATATTTATAAGCAATGGATAATGTTCATGACTTTAGTTAGCATTTACTACTCAACAATAATTCTTTATTGAGTATCATTGGAGCTAGTTGTTGCATTAAAACCATTGTGTACAACCATTGTCACTGGAGCGGAAAGTAAGGCAAATTCTCTGCAATGAAACCCTGGATAGCAGTAAAATCCCAACAGGGGTTCTTATCCTTCCCCACTCTCCTAAAACTATATATAAAAAAAGTTTTGGCTTGACATACACTCTTATATTACAGGGCCAAACCTGTGTTTCATTGCTTCATACCAGTCTATATGGTAGCGCCGCACCTGTTCACAAACCTGCCAGTATCAACATTTACCAGCAGTTAATGTGCTATAAAAGGGGCCCTGGTTGTTTTTTAAAGGGGCATCCAATATAGAAGACTCTGCAAAGACTTGCTTTGCCAAATATTTGGCCACTCCCCTGTTACTCCCATATGGGTCAACAACAGTTGTAAAAGTGATTATAGTCTAAATCCCAAAAGGAGAGCAAAAACACAACGAACTTTACATACTTAATATTTTAAAAAAAATTAAAAATTTAGCAAAACATTTTTGTTTTAAAAAGGGAAGATTACATTCTTACAACCTGTCAGCCAACAAATGTGTAAACGTCACATCAAAATTCCGTCACAAGTTACACTAGTCTAAAAATAAATAAACACATGACACAATTTGGACCTACTACAGAGTGCTGGTGACTACATCGAACTATCCAGTAAAATCCAGTAAAATCCTATTAACAGAGAATTACTAAGTAAGATTCCAACACAGTGCATGTCCACAGCCTTAAATTATATCAATTAAATAATTAGAAAAAGAAAAAAAAATGCAAGCCAAGTCACCATATGGAATCCTCACGTTCAAGATAATGATTGCAAAAACACTTACACTTCATTTAATGGTTTTCCAAGCCAGTGAGGTAATTAGTTGAAATCATTCATCGTTATTACACTCCTAGCTTCCTTTTAGCACTTAGTCATAATAACCATCTATTATGCCCATGCATGTAGGAACAACTGTACCATCACTCAAATTTATGATTGTGCATGCCAAAGATTTCACACTTTTAGTGTTTTTTTTAAATAATTTTATCATTCTACATTGCAATCAAAAGTGTTACAATTATCACTAAACACTGGTGACATTAGTTACACAATCATTCAGCATCAACTGATTCTAAGCATGAAACATCTAACAGTGACCTGGCCCTTGAGCAACCAAACTATAATACACTATATCTGGCAAACCTTAAGTACCAATTTGCAAAGTCTTGTACAACTGTAAATTAATCTTGACTTCTTTACCATTAAACAGAAAAAGAAATAACATTTCAGTGTATTTTTTTCCGTACTTATATTTAAGTAAAAAGCTTTTTTTCAACTAAAATCCTGCAATAAAACAGCTTGACATGTCCCCAAGAAACAGGACGTTATTTTTGGATACCACACTCTATTAAGTAACAGTTTATGCCTGTGGAAATGGTATGTTCAGAATGAGTATGCCCTAGAGATTGCTGCAATAGTAAATAACCCTATCACTCCACTCCACAGGAACACTTACAGTATCCAGCACATGTGGAACTGCGTGTTATAAAAAAAAAAAGAAACACACACAAACAATGGTGGCAAATGTTTAGCTAAGCTGGAAGCTTAAGTGCATTACCTGAGCAGAAAAACAGGGAAAGAAAAGACATTTTGACTGCTTTGTGAAGGGCTTAAACTTGCCTCTGGGGTGTATATGTAGAACTGACTCTACATTCCTTCTGTTAAATAAAAAAAAAAAATCACTTTCTTTTCTCTTTTAAATATTTGTCTTTTTTTTCTCCAGCATTTTCTTAAGCTAAGAACATGTCATCTTCCCAGACATCAATTTAAAATAAAAAAATTATAGTGATTTATATTTCAATTTAAAGAAAAAAAATCTAGTTTAGAGTATGAATACAATAGATTCATTAAAAGTTTAAAACTCTCAGTACCCCCTAGTTCTTGCCTTTTCTCTGTTCTGCACATTGCCTTCCAGATCATAGGTATTTTGCCTTACCGTGGCGGTTGGATTAACCATGGCATCCGCGTCAGTCTGTGAAGAAACATGAAGTTGTAGTTTTCTGGAAGTCTATTCATTCAGAGTTGAGGGGAAAAAAAGTTGGGTTTTCCTAGCTTTGTACGAAGATTTCTGAGTTGCTCTATGGGTGAGGAGTCTTAAAACTCTGAGTCTTGTGAACATAATCTGCTCGATTATACCAAACCAGCCCAGCCAGATGGCTTGGTGCTCTGCAAAGTAACCCTTTCCCTGCCGACTGCTTGTGTGATACTGTATCACAGATTCACAAGGTTTTACACCTAAAAACCAGGGTACAATTTGATATTTTAATTAAAAAATGTGTTCTTTAGTTTAGGGGCTGATAAAATACATTTAAAAAGTCCAATATTCAGATTTCACTAAGGTGATTTTTTTATGAGCAACTTTGAATAATCTTAGGGGAATATTAATTTTCTATTGTAAAAACTGATGTACTTTTTAAATTGTTGCATGTTATATTTAGAATAAACCAATATTAGGATTACAGACCCAAAAAAACCTTTCCACACCTGTTTTGTGAAAATAAGAATTAGGATAACCCAAGAAAGATTTGTTTTTTTATAATCCATGTAAGAGAATGCTGAATGGCCCCTGCAACCCTGCTCCAAACATAATTCCTAAATGAATATTTAAAATATAGAAAATAAAATAAAATAGTTTGAATTCATTTTTCCTGAAACTTGTGATGTGCCTAAGAGGCAAACCATAAGGAAACACAAAATTTACTTAGTAAACTGTGCCTTTTTACAGGTAATCTGCTTTTGGATGTGTGGCAACAAAAAATGCTAGTAATGCAAACGTAATGCTAGCAAATGTAGTTTATCTATAAAATATGACAAAACTGCAGCCACTATTTTATGCCACTTTTTTGTTAATAAGGCATGCACAAAATTATACTCAGGTTACTGGGATTCCACAAACAAAAAGCCCTTATCTCTAAAAGCATCAGAGTACTCTAAAGAAACTTCTGTGTGTGTCAAAATATACATGTGTTAGTATCAGTTGAATAGCATTGATGACATGTATATTCCTGCATTGGTTAAGTGGACCTTCAAATACCTTTTAGAGACTGAAAGCATTAGGTTACAATGAAATTAGGAGCAGTTCCTTCTATTCCACTTTCCCCAAACTCCTTTTGTTCCTCTGTATCTCCATCTCCAGTTTCCCCCTTTTTTTTTTTGCATCTTCAAATATCTTTTGCCATTTTGACCCTACCTGTTTCCTCTTTTCAGGAAATCCTAAACCCTCTTCTCGGTCTGGGTTTCGTAGTAGGGTAAATTTCACTTTGAATCCGAAGAGCTCTCCCAATCAGATGAAGCAGACAAAAAAGCTTGAAAAAAATCTTCTCTATACAAATTGCCCTTGTCTGGTCATCCCTCGCTGGTAAACCTGTTGTCACAACTGGAGGCTCGCAGTCAGATGGAGAAGAGGTATCAAACACAAGCTCCTCGGCGTGAATTCGTTCAGAAAACGGCTTCTCAGTAGCTAGCAAAGTCAATGGTCTGAGCATTTTTCTGAGTCCCCAAAAGTTGAAAGAACAAATGGCGAACTGGGCAAAGATTTTCCAGCGTAGCGAGATTGACTCCTCAACATGAGTCCTAACAAGTGATCAGGGAGTTTAGACAAGCCAAGTCAAACTTGCTGCTGTGAGAGAGGTGCCTGGCAAGTCTCACATTATGTTTTCCCACTGGAATACACCACTCCCTGGGTTGTGAGTGACAGACTAAGCCATCCAATACAGAGTTTGTAGTTAGAGAAGGCTGCAGCAGAGCAAAAAGACCAAAAGTCACCAAGCGTTGGTGGCAACCAGAAGGGTTAAAGCAGGCAGAGATAACACAAAGCTATGAGCCTCTTTCATAATCACAAAGCGTTATGAAAATCTGACTAAGAAAAGCAGTGTACACAGCTCTTAGTTGTTACATCTTCCTCCAGAGAGAAACAGGGACCAAAGGAGGCATGCTATTGCATTAGGATCGTTAAGAGATGGAGGGTGGAGGGTGGGGGGGATCATTCATGAGCATAAGTGTGTCCGTGTGTCTGAGCAAGGGGAGCAAGTACGTGTGTACTGTACACATTTGCATGCAAACAACACGCCTTGTAATTTGAGATCTGACAGCTTTATCTTGCCAAATATGTGCGGAGAGAAAAAAAAATTCAAGAAAAATGTCTCTAAAACAGAACAGTCTTTAAAACAGCAGACCCATTTCAACACAAAACGTGCATTGTGTATTTTTTTCAACTTTATTTATCTTTGATCATACAAGAAACATATGTTATCTCTTTAGAATCGATTCTGGATTTTATCATTTGGTTTGAAAGGACATAGATTTTAATTTATAATCTGCTTGTTTCAGTAGGTATGGTAACCAGTAAAAAAAAATAATAAAAAGGCATTTTTTGTAGATAGACCAGAATGCAGTCTTGCATGCGATTAACTTCAAGACTGATAGGCTGTGGAAAAGCAGCTAAGACGTGTTATAATCCAGATCCGATTGAGCTTGGCCCTTCCTCGGGAATTAACTTTGTTATATTTTTAGGCACCCAGGGCTAACAGTGTCAACAAACACAGAGCACAAGGCACGTGGACTGAAATAACCAAATTTTACTACATATTTCACCGCCTTTCGCCAGAAAAGATATGCTGTACCAACCCTGTGCCTAAATTCACCTATTTTCTAAACAATGCTGAAATTTAAAAAAAAAGTGTATTTGCTGTTTTTAGTTCATACAGTTTATTTAACATGCATTGCAAGAAAAATTAACAGTATTAAGTATAGGAATGTAACACCCAGCCTTTGGCTTTTGCAACAGCGCCACAGTGTGGTTGGAAATAAAAAGAAGTGATAGAAAAAAGGATTTTGCAGAGCACAGTGTGGTTTGTAATACATGGTTTTCCCTGTTTGTTGTACTTTGTAAATTAAACACCTGAAAAAGTTTTTTTTTTTTAAAGGCAAGTTTACGCAATTGTTTAAAATGAAATTAAGGAAAACCTTGTCACTATTTTTAAATCTCAAACCAAAGCCATGCATGTAAAGAAAATGATTAATACTTAACCCTCCTGACCTGCTGATACGCGCTGTTTTTAGGAGCTACATTGGCTGAAATATCTTTTTAGTCATGCCTTCAGCTTGGTTTGAAATTTAAGAATAGGTCTCTTTAAAGAAAAAGTAATAATATCAACTAATATCAGAACATACCGAGGGGAATGTATCAAAACTGGAGCAGAAAAAATCGGGAGCAGATTAGCACTGCGACCAATCAGCTTCTCTGTCTCATTTTCAAATCTTACCTGAGCAAACTGAAGAGAGAAGCTGATTGGTTGCAGTGCAAATCTGCTTCAGATTTTGTCTGCTCCAGTTTTGATAAATATCCCACTGTATGCTACAAAGTAAGTGAGGAGACGTTTTATTCTGGGTTTTTTTTTGTTTGTTTGTTTTTTTCGTGTGTGGTCTCTGTACTTCTTAGCTTGCTAACAGAGCAGGTGTGAACCAGGAAAAAAAAGCTTGGTTCCCAAAATGGAATGCAAACTGTTATTGCTTTGCTAACTTGTGAACTGTGAAGTGATTTAACATTGTATGATTACAGTGAACATGACCTGGCCTTAAAAGTTGGCTAAGGTAACAACCAGGTGCCAAGTACCTGTATTAGTCTTAAAATCTATCCCTGTGTTCCGGCAGAGCTCCTTAGATCCTAGACTTATAGGACATTGACTTTCTTGAAGTTACAGTGACACTAAACTCAGGAGTTGAATCTTAAAAATGCATTCAAGTTCCCTATTAACAAAAATATATCATATTTATGTATCACTCGGCTGTATCCTCAAATCATCTCTGAATTCATGCTGACACTGCCCTTCCTTCTGGAGGGGGGCTACTTTTGTTTCCGTGGTTCCTCTGTGTGATGTAAAGCAGCCACAGCTCCAAGCTTGCTCCTGTGATGAACTACAATCTCATGTTTATTTTACTAATTTGTATTGAGATTATAGTCTATCACGGGAGTGAGGTTGGAGCGGTGCCTACTTTACAACACACACAGGGACCATAAGGAACAAAAGTAGCCACCCTCCAGGAGGAAGGACAGTGTCAGCATGAATCCAGAGATGATTTTAAGATCTACAGCCAAGTGAGATACAAATAAGATACAGTTTTGTAAATAGCTGGGTTCTTAAAAGCATTCTTAAAATTTAATTCCTGAGTTTAGTGTCACTGTAAACTTAAACCCTGCCCACTGGCAATATATCTACCCCTGTTTCATTAAACATGGCCATTCAGAATCCCAGACAAAAGCTTTCAGCATGTATGACCATACACTAGACATGCTTCGTCATTCAGGATTTTTTCATTGCAAAACTTTAATGTGCACACAAGAGTTGTGCACATTAAATATATAT